AGAAGTTTTGAAAATGAAACTTAACTGGAATATCGGCATCCACGCTGAAGCCGAATTCCTATACAAAAGTAAAAAAAAAACGTTTTTAATATTAAAAAATGTTTTAAAGTTTCAAAACTTTGTTTTGAAACTTACCTTTGGAATTTGGTATTCAAGTAGGAGCCGATTTCCTATACAAACATAAAAAAAAATGTTTTATTAAAAACGTTTTATTAAAAAGAGTTTTAAAATTTTTTTTCGAAACTTACCTTTGGGATTTTGGTATCCACACCGGAACTGATATCCCTACAAAAAATAAAAAAAAAATGTTAATTTTTAACGTTTATTATTATAGTTTCAAAATTTTTCAAAACTTATCTTTGGGGTTCAGTATCCACACTGGAACTGATAGCTTTACAATTAAGTATAAAAAAAAACGTTAAAAAACGTTTTTTTTTTAAAGAAGTTTCAAAAATGGTTTGAAACTTATCTGAAATATCGGCGTCCACGCTGGAGCCAAATTCCTATACAATAAAATAAAAAAATAATGTTTTTTAATATAAAAAAAATGTTTTTAAAGAAGTTTCAAAACATTTGTTTTGAAACTTACCTGGAATATCGGTATCCACGCCAGAACCGATTTTCTACAAAAATTAATAAAAAAAAACGTTTTTTATTAAAAAACGTTTTATTAAAATTTCGAAACTTTAGTTTCAAAACTTAACTGGAATATCAGCGTCTACATTGGAGCTTAATTCCTATATAAAAAAAATAAAAAAAAAACATTTTTTTTATTAAAAAACGTTTTATTAAAGTTTTGAAACTTTAGTTTCGAAACTTAACTGGAATATTGGCATCCACGCTGGAGCTGAATTCCTATATAAAAAAAATAAAAAAAAAATGTTTTTTTTATTAAAAAACGTTTTAAAGAAGTTTTAAACCATTTAGTTTTGAAACTTAACTGGAATATCGGCGTCCACGCTGGAGCCGATTTCCTATACAAAAATAAAAAAACGTTTTATTAAAATGTTTTATTAAAGAAAGTTTTAAAAATTTTTTTCGAAACTTTACTTAGGAAAACGGTATCCACATCGGAACCGATTTTCTGCAAAAAATATAAAAAAGAAACGTTTTTAGCTAAAAACATTTTTTTTTTAAAAGAAAGTTTCAAAATTTTTCAAAACTTTACCTGTAATATCGGTATCCACGCTGGAACCGATTTTCTTCACTAAAAGTATAAAAAAAAACGTTTTTTAATGTAAAAAATGTTTTTTTAAAGAAAGTTTCGAAACTTTTTTGATTTAATAAAAAGTTACCGAATTTAATGTGTACATTTACGAATGAAAGAGAGAGGCGAAAAGTTTAAAAAGTTTAAAAAAGTTTATTTTAAAAAGACCTGTAAAATATCGATCTGGATCATCTGATTTTTTCAGTCATTTATCAACTGATTTGCCGAATTATTGCCAGATTTTTACCGTTTGGCAAATTTGGCAAAATTGTGTTGATTTATATGACCAATCAGTATAATTTTACTGAATGATCTTAAAAGAGCAATTTTTTGTATAACAATCGGTATAAGTTGATTTTTCACCAAAAGACTGAATGAGTTTTCGTTTAACAATCAGTATTAGTTGATTTGTGATTGATTTTACTGATTTTTGCCATTGGTCAAAAAATGTGATGAATCATATGACCAATCAGCAAAAATTATACCGAAAGCTCTTAACGGTCGAAAGTTTTGATTTTGACCAGTGTTACATCAGATAAATCAGAAATAATATTGGAAAAAGCGGTAATTTTCCTATGATTTTTTTCTCGGTAATTACAAATTTCTAATTATTGTTCTTTTTTACGATTAGCTAAATTTGCTAAAGATGATTTTACCTTCATATGCCTTCTATAAATGTAGTTCTCAAGTTGGTCTTATAGTATTTTTTACAGATGATTCAAGCGCAGAAAGAAACGCTCTAAAGCTCTGTTGGCCACGGGAATACGTCTTTTATGTACTTTCCATATACTCCAGGTATTTTGAAGATGGTTGTACGATTCAAAACATCATATAAATAAAAATGATCAAATACCTATTATAAAGATGATGAAAAAAATTCTTTACGTATTAACAGAGCCAGAGATGGATAACCATTATCAAGACTTTAAACATAATTTTTTTCACTTATATTCTCAATTACAAAAACACTTTGATCTTTTATGGAAACAGCGCCAATTATGGGCTTTATCTTTTCGTTTGATGCTACTGATACGTGGAAACAATACAAATAATTATATTGAATGTAGCTTTAGCATACTTAAGAATATCATTTTTTCTAGAACTCAAGCTTTTAATCCAGTTCAAGTCTTTCATTTTGTTACAGATAACATAGACCATTTTTATAAATTTAAACTGCTCAGAATTGCATATAAACACCTGGATCATACGATCACAAAAAGGTTCTTTTGTCCAGATTGGGAAAAAGTGAATAGTAATTCCATTTAACCAACAACTTTCAAAAATGAATATTTAGTTCCAAGTACAAAAAAAATGGGTTGTTTTTATGTTGTTTAACAGTGCTATTGGAACTTGTAGCTGTCATGTTAGGATGATAGGCACACCGTGCAAGCTGTTTCTGTAAAATTTCACATTTCAAATTTTAATTTTCTACCATCATTAACTCTTAATGATCATATGATCTATTTCTATATCGCACTTGGCAAACAGATTCCATTAAATTTGATATTTATTATAATTATCACTCACATAATTTATTATTATTTTAAGCTACATTGCAAAAAATGGTTCTTTTTATGCTTCACTACATGCAGGTCCTTTCTCACAAGTTCAAACTCTGCAGATAGAATCGCATAACGAAAATGATAAACAATTGACAATTCTGAACTGCAGCTATCAATTGAATTCTATAACTGACAACTAATTTCTGAGAGAATTAAATGAAAATAATAAAATAAAAGAGAATGAAATCAACACATCTACTTTGGGCGATTTCTTGGAAGAAATTAAAGTAGATTATGAAAATTGTGGTCCACAGTTTCGTACTGCATTAGACAAATTTGCTGAACGATACCATACATCAAATCAAAATCAATTCCTCACTTGTGTTCCTTCCTTTATGATATTAACCACAATGTAGATCTAACACGCATTAAGAGTGGTGCAATAATTCGTGTTCAGATAGAGTCTGTTAAGCGGTGTAAAAAAATAAATCAGGTGGCACTAATAAGCAAGCTGACAGAAAAGAAAATTTAGATTCATAAATAATTCCAAGTCAGAAAAAAAAGAAAACTGGTAAAAAAGAACACAATTTAAGCAAAAATATTCTAAGAAATCAGTTGAATTAAATTATATTTTTAATTTTAACTTGTGCTTTATTAAATAAATTTGCAATATTTTTACTTTGTCCATATTTATTATATATATATACACTTTAAATTTATTAAAAAAGATACTTATTATTCATTTAATTTCTTAAAAGTTTAGTATTTTTAATAATTCGTTTAATTATATTCTTAAAATTTTGCATTATTGATACGATATATACACTTTAATTTTAATTCCCTTTAATTCTGGCCAAAATAAGTTTTGTGGTACCGCGTGGACTATATACTTTAATTTTAATTCATTTTAATTCTGGCCAAAATAAGTTTTGTGGTGCGTGGCTTGCTAAGCTATGAACCTGGCACACAAAAAAGGGGTGCATTATTTGTCACCACGCACTGCTCACGTGACAGTACATAATTCCGCATAATGCCGGCCGACCAGTGCTTTTTTGGGGGGCTAGTTAAATAAAATAGCTAAGCCACCGTTATAATTGATCATCACTCGATATTTTTTCCATAAAATAAGCGCTCCTAGAAAAGCTTCTCACCATGTAGTCAACTATGGAGTTCTCTGACGCCCAGCTTTGCATTCTCATTGATGAATGAAAACAAAGAAATGCTGAGTATCATGCTCTGAGTAAGAAGAAATATTTCTTTTGGGATAATATTGCTGGAAAATAAACAAACAAGAAAATATAAATTACTTCACTGGCGAAGATTGTTATAAAAATTCTTAAGTCTCATGAAAGCTTTTTACGTAAGTAGTACTGGCCGATTGCTTGCAACTGCTTGCGTCCTACGAAGACTTGTCTGGTTAATTTATTTATTATTTTATTAGACAATGAAAAAAATATAGAGAAAGAACTGGGAACAAGAGAAAGTTGGGGAGAAGTTATATGAGGAGTTCTCAACGAAGCCAGAACCAGGTAATTGTTTCTGGGAAAATAAGTGAGTGGTACCCAAAATTAACACAATTTTTTTTTCATTTGCTAGAACTTCCATTCGAATGAAAATATTAGGTCAGGGTTCACCTTCAACGGCCAAGTTGTCTTCAAGAGTATCTTCGATCTCTACACCTGAATGGTTGAGTTCTGAAACTGAGCAATCAGTTCCCCCTCGTAGCATATCTAAGAAATCATCAAAAGTTGACAAGGAGGTGCCATCAAGATCAGTGACACCATCCATAGAAGAACCTGCTGTTTCTAGGCCTGTAACACCTACAATTCTTCCTTCCTTTCGCAAAACACGAATGTAATTAATGTCAAGCAGAGTTAGTCTGTTTTTTATTAAGTGGCGGTTATGTTAGCTACTATTTTTTCAGGGCGTGAACACAGTGGGTGGGCAGGGCACAATAGATTACAAAACAAATGTATTATTCATTATTGTGATATCGCTTGTGAAATAAAAATAAAGGTATAGCAGGAAAATCGTGTATCAAAATTTACAATATAGCAATGTGCAGTCAGAACTCGATATAACGAAGTCGTTATTTCAAATATTCGATAAAACAAATAATTTTATTATACCGAACTAATATATTTTTATTAATTTTGGCCAATTCCAAAGATCGGCGGATATGAACATTTTTCATATCAGATATGTATTTACAGTTCAATGTTTTGTTATCGGAGTCAGCCTATTTTTAAAACCGATCACGTCATTATTGTCGGGATCAAGAATAAATATTTTGCATAAATGATTATTATTTGTTATTGTTACCTAATTCATGTTACAATCACTTCAGAGTTCAGAATTAGCTGAGCTCGGAATTAACTGTCCACAATTTATCAGACGATTTTTGATGGAGCAATTGTGGAACATACAAATTATATAAAAGATTTTTAAAATTACTTTTATTTTCAACTTTAAAAAAATGGATATTTCCTATATCTTAATTTTCTTCCCTAGCATTGTAATTGCTCAAAGCGACAAAGAACAAAATAATGATGATGCTTTTATTGATAATTTATTCTTTACAATTTTGCCAATTATTATTTCGATAATTGCATTTACCGACAAAGAAAATGACCATATTCATTATGGATACTGGGTCAATCTTTTCCACACTGTCGTTTCTTCTCACCTTTTACCATTGGTATTATCTATCATCAATGAATTCGCTACAGAAGATGCACCAAGAGCGATTAGTTGGTTTACCATCTATATGATTATTTGCATAATTATAAAAATTATTTCACGTTTTTTTCACTATTCCGTCAACAAATCACGTAACCCGGAAGTTTCTTTACTTAATATACACTCGTTTGAAAATTTGGTGGGAGTAAAACGATATCTTTTCATATTTTTTGATTTCTTTTATCCCCTAATTTATCAAGTACTTATCCATGTTTTAGTAATGATAGGCTATTTTTTATATATCGATTTTTTACATTTCCATCTATCCTTTCAAGCAATATTCATTCGAATTTTAATATTCCTAATGACCATCGCAATTTTCATTTTTTATTTTATAGTATCAAATTTCTACTATGCATATTATATTTCAACCTCGTTTTTGTTCCTTTCTTTCATTGGTTTGGTCATGACCAAAAATTCATTAGCCATAAAAATTGTCTTCATATGCATGCTAGTCTTTTTGACTCAATCGGCTAACTTTATTAAAAAGGTTCGCAAGGGTAAAGATGGAGGTTTACTCTGGATAATGGATCATATACAATGGTTTATAGTACAATTAATATATTGCAATATCCTCATAAAATGTGATGAGAATAAGCTGAATTTGTGTGATGATTGTAAAAGACTACGTGGAGATTGCGAGAATCCAAGTCCATGCAAAATACTATGTTGCAATTGCACAAATCCATGCAAAGGATTTCAATTGTGCGATGATTGCAAAAGAAAAATAGGTAAAGCACCACAGTGGGTTGTGAAGCGCATACATTGTTATATAAGCCTCAGGGCTGATCTTAATCATTTGAAAGATGGTAAGATCGCAATATCTTCACATCCTTTTGAAGCTAATTGAGATGATCGTTCTTATACTTCAAAGACTATATGTGGTTAGGCGGAAAAAATATATGTAATATTGCAGAATTTATAATAAAATCAGTATATAGTAATAAAATTAAGAAAATTGCTAATTATAACCGCAGGTGATATCACCTCCAGTATGGTCACATGATTGAATTATTATTGATATGGCATATACAATAAAATTTATTTATAACATCTACTAAAATAAATTAATTATCTACAAATAATATAACATCAATTTTTATCGCTAAGAACCTTGCAATTTCGTAAATTATGACAAACCTCTACAGTTTTGTAATTTTTTCAGAGTGCTATCATTATATTAACACTTTGATTTTCTTTGTTTTCTTTAATTATTTTTTGTGGTTCTCCTTCACTTTGATACAGTTTTGGCGGACGTTCACGCTGGTATAAATAAATGATGAACTGTGAATGTGTTGGTAATAATTCAGGCTTAATTTGCCAAATTTCTACAATAGAATCTAATAGCACATTTTCAATCAAATTTTTGAGTAGAATTAGTTTAATTTTATAATCATATTCCCGGAATCCATCTTTGCAAGTTGAACCATCAATCAAAAATTAAAAAAAAAGAAATAAATAAAGTTAGAAACAATAAACATGCTAAGCCTAACCCTAATTCCAAGTCCTAATCCTAACCCTAATCCACACCCTAACCCTAATTCCACACCCTAATCCTAACCCTAACTAAATCTCACACCCTAATCTTAACCCTAATCCCACACCCTAATCTTAATACCATGTCATTAAATAATCAATTACTCCATACCTGTTCTATATATTCTTGAAGCATCAAAAAAAAAGATTTGTTTCATTTGGTTTTGAACTGTTGAAAGTATATGTAATGTTAAAAAATTCTTTTGCAAATATTATTAATCTCCTCAAAAAATCGGGATGGCTGTACCACTAGACTCATGTAATATTCAAGCCTTATTTTTTTTGTAAGAAAAACCTTCTTGAAGAGCGTAAATATTAAGGTGGGTTTCTAATTCTTCCTACAACTGAAATTGCATACCAGGACATAGTGTAATTTCTACATTAGTAATTTAGTATCATGATATTCACCTTCGTCACTTATCTAATATAGAATCATCTTTATCACTTTCAACCATAGGATTATTTTTATTTAGGGTTTTTATACTCCATTGTATATATAATATAGTAAAAGAAAAGAAGAGCAAAAAAGAAGGGAATGTGGGAATTAGTATAAATAGTCTAATTTTGATTAACTATTAAAAATAATATCATATTATATTGATCATGTGATTTTGGTTAGGTGATATCACCTGCGGTTATACTTAGTTAATTTCTAAAATGAAAAATATTATATTTATATTAAGAGATTCTAATAATATTATTTTGCTATAATTATTCTATTAAATAACTATACTTTTTGTTTTTAATGAAAATATATATAATTTCTTTTTATATAAGTATAAAAATATTTGATAATTGCTTATTATTGTTTTTTTAAAAAATTTTGTTATCACTTTTATTTTTATACTTTAATTTCTTGTGTTTTTTTTTTGATTTTTATCCAAATGATAATATGACTTTTTTTTTGATTTTTATCCAAATGATAATATGACAACTGGAATTTACCATCACCTTTTTTTTTACTTCTATTAATGACTAATCGCACTTCTGATATACGATATTCAGGTAATATCAACATCTCGATAGCCATTTGAAAAGAACTTTCATTGTAAGTCATAAATTACCTAAATTCTTTGGTTCTATGGTATTTTATAATTCCCAAAATTAATGAAAACAAAAAAAAATTTAAAAAATTTTATTTTACTAATAGAAAGTAAAAATTTTCTTTAATACTATTAAATAATACTATATATAGTTTAATTTCAATATACTGATATTTGATATATCGATATACTATTAAAAATTTGATATAATAAAATTCTATTTTTCCACTATATGTGAGGACATATAAATATTGGTATAACTTTGATATAATAATATTTTCTAAAAATTTTATATATGTCTCAACATATTGTTATATAAAGTATACTTCCCAGCGTAATTGATTTTTGAATGCCGTAATATAACGGCACAATGCCGAATTGCATATTGACGTAACGTAATTTATTTGTACTGATGTAATTAATTTGTACTGACGTATTAATTTGTACTGACGGAATTGATTTTATATTAGAATTGAATCTTTGATCCATTGATCCATTATTCCATTTATCTTTATTGCTATTAAAATAATTTATATTACGTATAACTAATTGTACAACCGATTTTTAAAAATTATATGTTTATATTATTCAATTAATTCAATTATTATTTATTACATAAAAAAGAGTTCTTAAACAATATACTTAATTATTTTATTTTATTTTTTTTTAGTTTTAGTTTTAGCACTATTGATATTTTTCATTTATTTGTTAGGACAGACTGCAAATTAAATGACGTAATTATTAATATATGTAACAATAATGATTAGATCGCAAAAATTACAAATGGAAAAGCAGTTTATGGAAAAACCTATAAAAAATAAAAAAAGAAATGTTAATATTAAAAGAATACCCACCCACACATATACCTGTATCCTGAAGGAATTAGGAAGCCAAAACCTACAGAGAAATTAAAAGAAAAAACGTTAATATGATTCTTTAAAGAAATTATAAAAATAAACCAACACAGAACATACTCATGTCTTAGAAGAATCCAGGAAGCCGAAAATGTTTCCCTACAAAATATAATAAAATAAACGTTAATAATTTCTAAAAAAAAGCAAATTTTAAAAAAACCTCATACCTTTCAAGTAGAAATTTCAACCCGAAAAAGTATAAGTCCTAAAAAATAAGACAAAAGAAACGTTAATAACGTTTCTAAAAGTAATTTTTTTTTAAAAAAAAGGCAACTTACCCAAGATCCGTATTCTTGATCTTAAAAAAGTTACAATTCTGACTTCAGAGTAAATAATTGTAATAAAAAAAAATAATTAAAAAGCAAAAGAAAAAAAAATCGGTTAAGAAACCGAAATGTTTTTTTTTAAAAAATATATTTTAAAAAATGAAAAAAAATCGGTTTAAGAAAACCGAAATATTGTTTTTTTTAAAAATAATTGATAAATAAAAAATAAATAAATAATTTTAAATTTTAAAAAAGAAAAAAATCAGTTTTTTTAAATTGGTCCGTTTTTTTTAAAAAAAAAAAAATTAAAAAAATAAAAAGAAATCGGTTTAAAAAACCGAAATATTGTTTTTAAAAAAATAATTAATAAATAAAAAATAAATAAATGATTTTAAATTTTTAAAAATAAAAAAAAATCGGTTTAAGAAAACCGAAATATCATTTTTTTTTAAAACAAATCGGTTTTAAAATTGTTTTTTTTAAAGAAAAAGATTAAAATAAAAAAAAAATGATCGATGAGATCGAATTTATGGATCTGTGATCTGTCATCTGATCGACCCAATCATCGGAATCATATTTTCGACGTAAAAAAATTTTTTCTTTTTTAATAAAATGTATAAAATGTGTTAGCGTTTAGCGATTAATTTCAATAAATAAATAATTTTAAATAGTTTACGGGTCAATTTTATATTGGACGTAATTAAGCATTATAAAAATTTATGGGTAATTATACCAAACAAATATTAAAATTTATTTATCAATGTATTTTTATGTTTTTAAGTGAGAATTCTATCTAACACTTCTTCCATATTAAATTCTTGAGAACCGTGATCTACCAGTGGTGGTGGAGGAGAAATATCAATTACTACTTTAACTTCTGTTTGAAGTAGTTCTTGCAATTCTTTATCCATAATATTAACCCATCGTGAAATTTCCAAATTATTATTATTAGCTGCCTCAGTATCATCACCCTCATCCTCATTTTGATCATAATCCTCATCTTCATCATCATAATCACTATTATCATCATCATCATCAAAAAAAGAAGGATCAGATAATGTTTCTTGAATTTCATTTTGAAATTGATCTTCGGAAAGTGTGTTATATGCAAATTTGAGCTCAGACTTTGCATTTGTTATATAGTACGTATGTAATTTCGCCATTGATTCAAGTTTTTCAATATTTAATCTAAATTAAATACATTAAAACTAAATTAAAGGCATAATATACTTTTTTTAATATAGTAATATTAAATATTAAATATTAACTTACCGTGTTCTCCTTTTATTAGCCATCCAACCAATTATGGAGAAAACACGTTCACATCCTACATTATGTGGAGTAATTGATAAAATCTTCATAGCAAGTTGTTGAATATAATGTTCTTCAGGAAGTACTGGATTGCATAATCGCCACCATAAAAAAACATTATCTATTCCTAATACATACTCTAAATCATAAGGTTTTTCATATTGTGTAAATGCGCGAATTTGAGCAACTAATTCGCTACAAGAATTTTCACCACCACCCATATTTTTTAGCAATTTCATTGCATTAAGACAAACATCAAAAAAGACCATTGGATGTAAACCTTTACCTAAAGTATAAATATAATAATTTAATTAAGATTAGTGTAAAAATAAATAATTCAAAAAAAAATTCACAATTTACCTCGGTAGTATGGATGAAGCATATAACTTAAAATATAAAGATCAAAATCGAATTGTTTCCATCTTTTATTAAATAATTCAATACAGGTAGATTTAAAATTTTGATCTGATATTGGTGGAAGGAAATTAATCCTTTGTGATAACTTGATTAATTCAACAAAACAATCAGCAAGCGTAGTTGATTTGAATTCAAGAGCCTTTACTGCTGATTTGACTGGG